TCTCTGTCTCTCAGGCTTACTGTCTTCTTCAGGTGTGCAATTTCACTGAAAAAAAAAGGAGAGATGAGTATTAAGGAAACTTTTCTGGTTGAATTAGAGCAGCTATGGGCTGTCCTTGAAAGCTTCAAATTGTTTTCGTGACGATGTGGGGAACTTGAAGAGTTAAAAGAAATTTTTTTTTTTCAATTTCTTCTTTCATTTTCCAGTTTGAGCTGGGAGGGAGATCCATTTTTTCTTCACTTATCCAGCTCACATGGAGAGTGAGCACGGGAGATGGACATAAAGCTTTTCATAAAGCTTTAAATTAACAAGTGGGTGATACTCTGACCCTGCCTTGCTATGAATACTTAGTATATTTATAAGATAACAGGTAAGGCCAAAAGGACGAAAAAATGTTTCATGCACCAAAATCTACCTATCTATCTATATATTTATATACATGATGGCAAAAAATCCCTTTCTCATTTCAATTGTTCCTGGACCATTGCCTCTTTATGAAAAGGGTAATCTCGCTGCAGGTTTTGGATACAGTCACCAAGGAATTTAATACATTCTGGACTTAGAGGGTGTCCCCTGCCCATTATCAAAATCGTTTTCAAAAGGTGGGTATTTTATTAGCCCCTGCCACAAAAATAACGTGTGTTAAAATGATCTCATTTCAGAGCATCATATAGAAATTAGAGCAGAGAACTTAAAAAAAAAAAACTATTCACAGTGTAGGAGTCACTTAGAGCAAACACAGTACTCCATGGTTAGACGACGGAAGGGATTTCCATTTGATGGCAAGTAGAAAAAATAAAAAATAAAATAAAATAAAAATCAGGCATAGCTAAGTGAAAACTTCCTTGCACTGGTGGGTAAGATGACCCTACTGCCTTTGCAGAAACCTGCCCTAGTGCAAAATAGCATGAAGCTGTGTGTTCAGAAAGCCTCACTTTTTTTTTTTCCCCCACAGGGGACTTTGAAAAATGCAGTTTCTCCTGGAGTCATTCAAACAGAGCTGAAGCAGCGTCATCACTCCGTTCACATTTCAGTATCTTGTGCTAATCGCCCCAGCCTTCTGATCTCCGCAGTCTTCAGTGACCAGGAAATTCACAAACGAGCCGGAAGCTGTGTCAGAGCCCAGGTTCTCCTCTACTTTCTCCCGATCAAAATGTTCCAACCAGAGTTACAAGTGAAGGGAAGGATCTGGGTTGAACTTCCCTTGGCCTTCCCTAGCCTTGACCTAGTGGAAATAACATGAAATGGTCCCAGGCCAGAAAATAAACACAAAGACAGATGAGGCTCCTGGAGCAAAGATCATCTGGAATCTCTGAGGATTTCAGCATCTTCCCTCCCTAGGATTTAAAACATCTCCTCTCACTTACGTGGAGAATCTAAAGTTGACTGAGGAGCCTTTCTAAACATCGGGATAACAGGAGATTTGATGGACACTGCATAATTTGTTTGCTTTTGCTTTCTGTCTAACTTCAGAACCTCATATCTTGAAAGGTCAAGTACACAGTATTGAAAAAGGCACTTTCTTCTTCAGGGATGGTGGGCATCACAAGTCAATGCATCCCACGTTCCTAAAGGAATAGGGAAGGGCCTGTGCATGAACCTCTAGGAAGCCACATCCATCAGCATTTTTATGGATAGTCATCCACCGGCCACCTTTGGATTAGCTTCTTAAGGCAGTAGATAGAGCTCCCTGAAAAAGGGAAATCATCTTCCGGCACATTTTCCGATGCCTAAGCTTGTAGAAACCTTTTGATTCCTTGAATACCATGATTCATTAGCCCCTAAGCCCCCTAGAACCATGAACCGAGGGTCAAAACAACGTCCAAATCTGGAGTTCCCTTTAAAGAAAAAATGTCTAAGGTTTACCAAATTACTAAGTGGAACTCAGTGTTTAATATTTTATTCTGAGGGTAAATAGAGGTCGTTAAGTGGGTAGCTTGTTCAGTGTACTCTGTGGATCAGTGCGATGGTTCAAGGGATTTTTGGGTAGAAGCTTAACATTTTAGGTCAAGAAGGTTGTTTGCTAGACAAAATTGGTACAGCATGAACATTAACACCAATTTCATGTGGTTCCCAAACCAATACTTAGAACAGAAAGCAAATGGCATATAGGCTTCCACGTTTGAATGTCTACGTGACCACATTTCCCACTGAGAGAGAGAAGCAGGGTGGTGCTTTAGAATGCAGCTATGCACGGACTCAAGGGCCCCCTGGGGTCACGGTACTGATACCTTGCACACAGCCCACGTTTGCTGCAAGTGACTGGGTCCAAGCCAGGCATTTTCTAGCTGAAGTTTGACATTAAAATTCAGTGCCAAGTCCGGAGGGAGAAGAGAACAACATGCTGAGAATCCTTTTGCAAATGTTTTTCTTGACAATGTCAAACCATCACCAAGCAAGCCCTCTGGATGGGAGAACTCTCCAATCATGGCTGCTGAGGACGGTTGAAGGCTTAGCCAGCTCACATCTTCCTCAGACTTGTCTGGACTTCAGAGTTACATGGGGACCCGAACTCCATCTACTGTATCAAAATCTCCAGAAAGGCTAAGCCAGGGCCATCCCTCCTACACTCGCTCATCAACAGTCAAACAACCCAACCTTTAAAATTGGCAAAAGACTTGAACAGACACTTCACCAACGAAGACGTGTAAGAGTGGCTAATAAGCTTATGAAAAATGCTCAACATCCTTAGTCGGAGGGAAAATGCAAATTAAACTACAGTAAGTGTTTCAAAACGGGGAGTATTTCAAGGAGGTGAGTCAAACCCGTCTGTGGGAAGAGCTGAAATTTAAAAAATAGGTACCCCGTGTTGAAGAGGACGTGGAACGACACTGCTACATTTTACGTACCTACTAGCAAGGCACTGGGGGTTAGGACTTGAACATAACTTTTCATGGTACCGCATCTCCCAAGGCGGAATTCAAGGTGTCTTCAGGGCTGCGCTTTTATCTAGAAGCTATGGGCAAGAATTCATTTGCAAGCTCATTCGGGCTGTTGGAACAATCCCGTTTCTTGCAGCTGTAGGAATGAGGCCTCTTGTTTCCTTGCTGTCTGTCAACTAGGGGCTGCCCTCAGCTTCTAGAAGCCACCGGTATCCTTCATCACAAGGTCACCCCCTTCTGTAAGCCAGTCATGTTGCATCTAATCCTTCTCACGTTTGCAACCTCTCCGACTCTCCCTTTCTGCCCACCAGCCAGAGAAAATGCTTTGCTTTTTAAATGGCTCATATAATTAGGTTAGGTCCACTGGAATAATTTCCCTTTTGCCATAGAATTTACTCTCCTCAAAATAAAGACATTATCGTCACAGTTTCCATCCACATACAAAGCAGAGGAAATCACATAAGGGTGAGGGCCACTGGGGGTCACTCTTGTGATTCTGCCCACTCACATCTCCCTTGCCAGTCTCTCTTGCAGTTTTCCCTCAAATGTCTAAATCCTTATTCAAAATTTGTCTTCCACATGGAATTGTAAGCTCCAAGAGGGTAGGAAGTGAATGGGCACCAAGCATGAGACTGAGAAGGCCCTTGTTGAGTAAAGAAATCAACAAATGGATAGATGGATGATGGATAGATAGATGGATGGATGGATGGATGGATGGATGGAAGGACAGATGGATGGATGGATGGATGGATGGATGGATAGGAGAATGGAAAGATGGATGGATTTCTTCTAGTTCATTATAATAGTTGATGAATTAGCTTGTTCATTAAATAAAGAAACATTAAGGAACACAATCTTGGCTGATGGGACTTTTGTTTTCAGGCAGGAAAATGGTAGAAAGAAATGGGGTTCGAAGAATAAAAACCCAGACGTCAAGGTGGAGATAATGAAACCGGAAGTTGACTGAAGAGAGTCAGAAACTTGCAATGCTGAATTCCTGTTACCACATGAGAAATGGCCTGTCATATACTCTGTCACTTTCTGCTGGTTTCTCCAGGGATATCTACTGCCTTTGCAAAAAATTAATAGGTGCAGACAGTTGTATGACAGCGAATGAGAAAACAGAACGTGCGTTTTGTGGCTGTACTAACTCAGCTGATGCGACTTAAACCAACAGGCATATCTGTGTTGCTGAGATGAAAAACCTACACTCAGCCCTCAACTGAACTGCTAAATGGATAAGAGCCTCCTTGTAAGTACAAAATCCAGAATGGGCTGAGACCAAAATTCAGATGTACAATGCTGTATTTCTGATGAAATAACCAGACGTGTACATTCCAAGCTAATCACACTTCAGAAGTTTGTCCTCATTGAGGGTAACACAAATGGTTACCTTTAATTATATTTTTCCTTTGGGTGATTCTATGAAATACTATTTTTAAGTAAGTTTTAAAAATATCCTTTATTTGAATGTAAGAAAAGTGGTCGGGGGCAGACAGCTTGTAGCTAACAGAACAGCAGACTTCAAAGAGGGGTAGGATCGATGTGTATTTCCAGGATTAAAATACACAGCTGCAGTTTGCAAATTTGAATACATTTTAAGGCCTCCTCCTCTCTCCACCCTCTAAAGCCATAATCCTTTGACTGACAGTTCCAGCCCTATCAGAAAGCCAGACTACATTCATCCTGGTGCACTGAAGGGGGTAAGCAAGCCTTCATCTGTTTAATCGTCTCATCCACGATT